ACTCCCAATCCTTTTTACTAATCCGTCCTGGTATTAACCACTGATGTCATCAAAATCTACCTTCTCATTCATATCACAGTTTTCAATACTTGAAAAAAACTTTGTCTTTAGTTTCTTCAGCTTTTCCTAATGTGATTTTAATTATTTCTACTGTTATATCTGCCTTAAAAATATTGACTAGTATAGTATGGAAATTTCTTTATACTTTGCTGATATTAAATAAAACAACATAGTTAATATTGAATTATTAAAGCACTAATTTCTCTCATCAGTTCTACATGTACACACATGCATTCATTTGCGTTGTGATTACAATGTCAAGAACTTTTCCAAATCCACTGTCATGCTGTTTTTTCCATCCTCTCTAGACTTGTACAAGTAATGTCTGAACCAAGATGTAATTTGTATTTAATTCTTATTACATGTAGTTTATCACTTTAGCCTACACGAGCAAGCAACTTTCTCAATTATGTCCCACATACTCACAACAGGTCCAGTATTACACAGCCTCAGTTCAGAAGTGCTTCCTCTCCACCTGTCATGTTAATCACAATACTGAAGATGGCCAGCCCATAATTCCACCAGGAAACATAATCTAGGACAGGGCTGTCCCACTACAGCTTATTTGCTAACTCATCTGTTTCTCCTTATATTGACTCCATGTTTCTAAAGATCATCCATGGGGGTCACATAAGTGATTCTCAAGCAGCTTAATAAAATCCAGATGCAATGACTTAATAGGAGTTGATCAAGTACTTTAAACCAATTCCCATTAGCTGTATATTTTGTGCTAGGCACTGACATTCTCTGGTGATAGAGTCAAATAAGACACTGTTTTCAAGTTTACAGTATAGAGGAAAAACGCTCTACACCTAATGACTGCCATAAAATATTTTAAGCATGAGAGGCAGTTGGAAAAACTCAAAGGGATGGAATGGGGTTATCTAATCAGGTCAGCATGGTTAAAAAAGCAGGGGTAGGAGCAAGGCTCAGTGGTAGCACACTTGCCTAGCATGCCGAGGCCCTAGGTTCCAATCACAGAACCTCCAAAGCGATTAGGAAAAGTTTCCCAAAGGAAAGAGGATTATTTAGGTTGGAAATGAATTTAAGTCTCAGCATCATGAGATGGGTTAATGGTGGGTGTGAGTGTGGTGGTCCTCAGAGTGCTCTGGGTGGACATCCAGGCTCAGGACTCACTGGTAGTAAATACTTTCCATGGCTATGAACTCAGGCAAGAGCCCTGAGACAGGAGTTAAGACAGCTGGTGAGCACTGACACTGCAGGTCAGGGAAGCACACCTGCAGAGATGTGGAGGAGATGTGAGCCTTGGGTGCACTGACCCCCAAGGGCCTGATAGAAAAAGGCACCCACCCTTGGAGGTGCAGCAACCAGGATCCTCATTAGTGGATCCAGAAATCCAAGCCACCCACAGCAGGCATAGAAGTCCCTCAAGGGCCCAGTATTAGAATGACTTGATGAGATTTAAGATTTAGAAAGTACCCTGTTGGGACACTGAGGACCAAGAATTGATATAGGCAGGTAAGAAGCAAGGATGTCATCAGAGAGGATGGAGAGCAATCAAGGCAAGATTCTTAAGGGAATAAAAATCAAAGAGAAATTCTGGAACTGGTGAAGACTGAACTGGCAAGTCTTGGTGACTACAGAACTGGAGAGGCTCAGAGAGAAAGACAAGGTCTTGGCCAGGGATGTAGCTCAGTGGCAAAGTGCCTGCCTGGGAAGCACAAGGTTGTGAGTTTGACACCAAATACCAAAAACAAAAACAAAATGAAAAAAAAAGAAAGAAAGAAAGGCAAGGTCTAAACCAGTGACAGTGAACCTTTTAGAGATGAGTGCCCAAACTCTACCCCAAACCTACTGTTTATGGCAAAATACAAACATTGCAGTTAAACCTCAATACTGAAATTTTAGTCCAGAAATAAACAACTGCTATCTGATGCCTGCTACTGGGTGAGACGGCCTGTGTGCCTGCCCACTGTGGCATCACCAGCTGACTGGTCCCGGGCTTTTAATTTGGATGGAAGGAATGGGGAATGTCCTCTACTGAGAAAGAGAACACTGTGATATGAGTGGGGAGGACTTCTGGATCCAGGTCCTGTCATGTTTTAAGGAGCTTGTGATCACAGTCAGGACCCATCAGTATGGCCCTCTTAAGCCAGGCCTGAGAGGACAGGGAAGCTCAGCAGCCAACAGTGACCAATGACAATTCCAGCCATGGACTTGGGCCAAATCACTGAGTCAGAATAGAAAGTCAAAGGGAAGATCAGTATATTCAGATTAAAGACAAGTACAAGCTATAGGGATTGTAAAAAGGTGTGTCTAAGGACTTACCTAAAGTACCGTTCCTAACATAAATGCATTTATTTGTTAATTTCTTACAAATTATGGGAGCAAACTCTCAGGTACTTTGATAAGTACTCATCATGCATACATCAGAGAGAGAGAAAGAGACAGAGAGAGAGAGAGAGAGAGAGAGAGAGAGAGAGAGAGAGAGAGAGAGAGAAATGCTAACATTACTCTATGGTTTTCTAGCATTTCAAAACAATGCAAATTTTAAAAAGTGAAATGAATGGGCCAGGAAAGTTTCTGACCTGGCCCTCGAAGACCAGAAGGCAGATTTCAGAAATGGGGAAAGGGTGAAAGGAAAGAGGGAAGTGATGGGGATGGAAGTAATCAAGATATGTTACACACATGGAACAGTACACCAAACCAACCCTAGCTTTACAAATACCATAACATTTTTAAAATGATAGTCTAGAACATCAAGAAACCCAAGTCCTTTCTTATGCATTTTAAAAACATGTTTCCTATATTTATAGTCTGTAGGGAAAACTATTGCTAGAATCATAAAACAGGAAGACTTCAGTCTCGCTTCCCATAAGTTAACTACTAGGTCTGTAGAATTCCGTTTCTTTCCCAAAGCTATTCAAAGAGAAGTGTAAGTATATCGAACTATCACAAGGCAGGAATTTAAGGATATTGAAAAGTATTACTATGGTCTACAACTAACTTCTAGGCTTTGTAATTTCAAACATTCCTCTTAGTCAAAGTCTGGGTCTAGTCTTACACCCAGTTTACAGAAGTTGAAAAGATTAGATCACTTTATAGCCATAAACAGCTTACATATTCATTCCAGCTACTGCTGTAGCTGAGATTCTTAATTTGAGGGTCCAAAGAGTCAATTATAAAGATAACCTTGTTTCTCAGTAAAATGCTCAAGAAATACACAACCCTTAATGCTCCAAGATTCATCTGCTTTTTAATAATCCAGATATTCAGCAATGCCACCATTCCAACTACTGACAAAGCTTTGTCTATCTCATAATTATAAAAAAATAATGTAAAACTATGGTAGAAATTTCCAAGACAAAATTTCAATTAATTGTTAAACATGTCCAAAACGCTGACATGGGCTTAGCTGGTACACGTGGTTCCTTGTACTCGAAGACTGAAGATTCCCCTACTCACGGAAGAGAAAACTGCTTTACTCTTTATTGAATGTAACTTTAAAAAAATCTTACTATCAGCACCATGAGTATCTTGAGTCTGGTTTTATATGTGAGGTAATTTAATAGTGTAGTCACAAAAAGAAAAAGAATGTGCTGCATGGCACTCAAGTAAAATACTCGGTAATTATAAGTGCAGTCCAGATCTCTGACAACTGGCAGGAGACTTGAGGAGCACTGGGAGGGGGTGATCGGGGAGGGAACAAGAGCCCTTGCCTCCTCCAAGGGGAAACCTCCAGCTCCAGGACTGCAGAGGCATGCACAGGACCAGCGTGACTAAGGCCTGCAGCAGCTGGTGGCGATCTGCCCGCACTCAGCAAACACAAGATTAACTTATGAGGCATCTCAGACTTGGAACCACATCCTTTCCCCTGTGGAGCCTGAGGGGTGCAATCTTCAGCAAGTGTCTCCTGAACTCTGCTGACTGGGGTTACTGTGAATCCGCCCATTGTGACTGGCTGATACCCAACCTGGAAGATGACCAAGGAGGGACATAGGTCTCATTCAGGACCACCGGGTCAGAGAGCCTGAATTTCGGTTTGCCACCAAATAAACACTTGAATAATTAAGACTATTCAAGGTAAAAATAAGGAGCTCTTCTTTGATATGGAACTTTAAGCTAGACTTAGAAGCACTATGTCCAAGCCTTAGCCTTACACATCCATGCAAAGCACGGCAACCCCAAAATCTACCTAAGTGTTCCCCACAAACACTTAGCAATAGTATTTGATGCTGCTGCTGAAATACAGGGTGACCCATGATCGATACGACATAGTACTAAATTAGTTTTTATTACAGATCCCTGAATAGGTTGTGCTATGACACAAAACACGTATTTTCTGAGAGTTATGTGTATATTGTTTGATTACTCGATTAGTTATCTGCTTTTTCCCACCAGTAACATTGGGCCTTCCTATAAAAAAAATCCAAAATGTAAAACTTTATCTTGGGCGGGTATATTTAAATTAAATTCTTTTAACAAGGAACCTCACATTTAGCGATATACTTTTTGAGAAATACTCTAATTTCCTAATATAAATTCTGTACAAACGAATCTGAAATACAAATTTTCTTGTGTCATACATCAATATAAACCAAACAGACCTCAAGATCATAGTTCATCTATGTAATTTTAAAAGAATATGCATTTGAAAACTAATATTGGCTCCAAACATGCAATTTCAGTGTCTAATTAAAGTAGCACAAAAAAGCAATACTTTTTTCTCATTTTGCAAATAGTGAGTAAATATTACATAAACCCACAGCACAAATAAAATTTCATAAAACTGTACCTTCAGCACAGAGAATTGTCACATTCTAAAAATGTCTTCACCCTGTCGTTTTCTACCCATAAAAAAATGAGCACATAATCTGATATGAAAAGGTTTGTGGATCTGGGTTTTCATAAACCACCTTGCTTTTATAAAACTGCAGCAATGTTTCTCTATGTAAGAATATAAGACATGAAGCACGTACGAGGGACATAGATACTGCTTCTTTTTCCCCTTCCCTTTCTTGGAAGACTTTTCCTTAGCATAGGCTTCTTCCACCCACAAAGAAATTAAAATAAAAACGGTGATTGTCAATAAGAACTTCATCTTGACACATTAAATTTCGGGAGCTCGATCTACAAGAGAGAACAAGAGAATTTTACATTTATGAAGCAAATGAGAAATACAAGATTGCCTTTAAAGGAGCACAATGATTATTACCCAAAGGCCAAATACACTTGTATTTCATATCTTCATTGCTAAATTCTGTATATCTGCACATCACTATATAGTAAATTATGTTTTATATAGTAGTAGTAAAGTCTCTTTTATATAGTAGTAAAAGCCAGTTTAAATAACGGGTGCAAAGTAAACAAGACTCCAATGAGGTGTAAGAGGTCACTGTTATAAAACTTCTGACTCTAGGGTTATATAAAATTGTAAATTGATACTGAACTGGATATTATATCAAAACATGCTTAGAAAGATACCTCTGTGATATTTAACAATTGAAATGCTTATCTCCAATGAAATATCGAAGCTATTTTTTTTCTGAAATGTAAATTATATGTATATTAATGTATATATTATTTTAATTTCATATATTCATCTTTTAAAAAACAATAAAACTAGTTCAGTATTAAATAACTGTAGAGATAAAGAAAATAATTAGCATCAAAGAGCTTCACACTTAATTCCCCGAGTAACTCACACACACTGAGACTGCAAGCTGCCTCCTGCCCCCCCCCACAGAGGTAAGCATCGCTCCTGATTAATTTATACCGTGCATGCTGTTTACCTCCCCTCCATGTGATACTAACGTCTATCAGCAAAATTATGACTCTGGAAATTCCAGGTTAGGGACCAAACGCCCTCCAATAATCTTCTTAGCTATATTTTATAACATCCTTCATGCTCAAATAACAATTCTATTCTTGCCAGAATCTGCTGTATCCAAAAAAAAAAAAATAAATAAATAAATAAGTAAAATTTAAGAAAACCAAAACCCTACTTTAGGCATCGCTGCGGCACTGGCGTCCGGGGACCCCGGGCCAGCAAGCACCCCCGCGCATCCCCGCTGTCTCTGGTCTCCACCGCCCGGCCCAGGATCTACCGGCTCCCAGAGGGCAGCTGCCCATGGCGAGGTGCGCCCGGCGCCCCCTTCCTGTCCCTGGCCCGACCCAGCTCCTGATTCCTGTCTGCGACCCTGGTCCTGCGTTCTGGTCCGGAGTTCGACCCTGACCCCCTCCCCATCCCCGCCACCGACCCAGGCCCGGATCCCTGATTCGAGTTCCAGGCCCGATCCCCCCCCCCCCCATCCTGTCCCCGTCCCGACCCTGTCTGGCCACCCCGGCTCGGCCCGCGTCCTTACCGCAGCGCCGCGCAGCCCTGGCGGCCGGGAGGCGGCGCCGCGCGACCCCACGCTGCCGCCGCGGAGCCTGCGCCGTGGCCGGGCCGGGGCGGGGCTGTGCGGCCGGCGGGACCCGGTCCAGTGGGGGGCACGCTCGCCGGGGGCGCAGGGCCTCGGATGGCCTGAGTGTGCGCTCCCCGATCCTCAGCCTCTCTGGGGCCCGTCGTCCAAGAGGATCCCCGCGGGTCCCAGATGCTGGCGCGTCCGCGTCCCCAAGGCTGAGCGTGCCCTGCTTTCTGCGGAGAGACGCGCTGCTCCCCGCAGGCCTGCAGCGGGGCCGGTGAGACCCGGGGGCAGGCAGGTCTATGAAGGAGAACTGGCCTGATAAGGTACCTTTATTAATTAATTTCTGCGGAATCTGCAACGTAAGGACGGCTAAGATCCTTTTCGTGTTGAAATAAAGACACCTGACACCTGCTGTCCAAGGGACAGGGGTTCCTAAGAGTTTGACATCACAAGATCTTTGAATTCCTGTAAGGGAGCCGAGCAGGCTTCTCTTCTCCCCAAATCACGTGCACAGGTTTGGAAATACTTCTGTGCTGGAGATGCCTGCATCTGACTTGGTCACCTTGCCCAGCCTGTCCTCTGACGTGGCCCCCGTCCGTGGAGAATGATATTACTCGTAGGAAAAGGTGCCCACTGTTGGAATGGTTCCATAGGTGGTTTTGCCCAAAGATTAGGAACTACATCGGAGACCCTAAAAAGGATCTCTTCCAGGCCTGTGGGGTAGTATGCACACTGTAATTTTTTTCTATGAAATGATCTGCTTTTATGAATTTATAGTTATAACATGAAAAGGGGAGTCTGTAAAGTGATGGCCTAAGATGATTTTCCCCAATTCGCTCCAGAGTTGGCCCACTTCTCTTTACCTCTATCTGCTCCCTGTGATGTCCTCCACTGGCAAGGCATTAGGCCTCATGCTGGTTTCTCAGATGTATTTTTCCAACCTATGCCTTTCTCTCACACTAGTCACGCTGAGTGTCCAAAGGGCTTCTCAGCAGTTCGTCTTCCATCCAGTGAATGTGCCAAACCCCAGCAGGTCCAGACCTGAACCCTGCTTCTCCCCAGGCTCACTCCCCCTCAGCTTTCTCTGCCAACAACAAACAGCTCTACCCTCCTCATTGCTGGGGTCCAAACCTGTGGAGGTGGCCAAGGCTCCTCTTCCTCACCCCCCACAGCCAGACAGTCCTTGCAGAGGTCCTGTTGCTCTGAAATTATATCCAGAATCCAGCTACTTTTATTTCTGCTTCAGGCAACCTGGACAGAGCTAGTATCTTCTCTCATCTTGGAACCAGATTCCCATGGTAGCTTGTGAGCTGCCCTCCTGCCTATCTGTTCCGCTCTGCATCTCTGAGTCTCCGCAGCCATGCAGTCAGAGAGGGCCCCTTCCAAGGTGTCCTGTCATACTGTGTAATTCCTCAGCCGAAAGCCCAGAAGCCAGCCCCACAGTGAGATGATTGGGCACTTCGCATGCAGGAGCCCAGTTGTCATTTGCCTCCCTGTGTGGCAGTGACTCTGGTTGGCCTGTCTGCCCCCTGGCTGCTGGCTCCAGCTACTCCTATCCTGCCGACTTCCTGCGTTGGTTCTAGCTGTTCCCTCTGGCTAACATGCTCTTTCCCAGGCCTCGGGTCTCACAGCCTAACATCAGCTTGCTGAGATGCCACCCTCGAGGTATGGAATGTCATTGAGAAGTACAAACTCTCCCATGGGATTTCTCATCCCTTTTAATCCCCTTCTTTTTCCTTTTCGTGGTACTTGCTACTCTGTCTCACTCAGTGTACTTACAGCCTGTCGTTGCAATGCTTTCTCAGCTAGAATCTTAGCTCACTGTCCATTGATGCTTCTTAAGTTTCTTAATAATGGTGTTGAATGGATAAAAGCTAAGCCTTGGCCTTGTTACTTATCGCCTATAAATCCTGAGTTTCCTTATCAGCAAAATGAAAACACTATGCATGATTTGAAGAGTTGTTCCAGGAATGCAGCAGGTTAATTGATGTCTGGTGCAGAGAAGAAAAGCTGCAAATAATTACATTCCATTGCTGTCTCTCATTGCTTAATGGGACCACAGACTTTGATTAATGAGACTACTGCATCAGTGTGATTTGCACCCCAGAACCTATGCAGAGGCTCAATCCCTAAGGTCTTGTGCTAATGACATTAAGTAGGTAGACAAGGGATCCTAGCCTGGTTTTCAGATGTGAGGTCTTCGGGAAATGATTGGATTAGATCATTAGAGCCCAGCCCTGGTTTGAACTTCACAGTTTTATCAGCAGGAGCCGGAACACACACCGCTAGACACAGGTACTCCTGCCATGACAGGACACCCCCTGGGCTGGTATGTTGCAAGAACCTGTACTGTGTTCAGAGTTTTAGTGACAGTAATGAAAAGCTGGCTCCTAAGAGTGCCCTGCTATCAATTTCTACCTATTTTTGGTTCTTTGAATTTATGTTTGAAAAGTTTTATAGGCTAAAACACTGACATATCAAAACACTGACTAGGAATCCTACTTTCCAAATATCCAGACCTAGCCTGCTATATGTATTATGTATGTATAAAATTTTATTTCACTAGTTCATAAATTCTAGAAACAGATTAGATATTGCATGTTTAGGAAATCAAACACAAAGAAGAGAAATCTTTATTATAAACCATTTTTTCATATAACTACTTGCCCCTGTTGAAATAGCCTTAAAAATATCTTTGTTTTTTATATGAACCTTCTTTATTTTTAATGATAGCCTGAATTGTTATATTGATGAGTTTTTTAATTGAAAGTTCCGTCCATTTGCCATTATAGGCAAAGATACCTGCAGTAAGGTCATATTGCCTTAAATTACTTCTCTTGTTGCTGAGAAAAACTGCCTGACATCCAAAGTTAAAGGAGGAAAGGTTTGTGCAGCTCTCAGGTTGTAGGGGTTCAGTCCATAATCAGACTCCAAGGCAGAGTGACCTGAAGGAGGGGCATCACAGAGGAGAGCAGTTCATGGTGGGCAGACTTTAGCAAAAGCACAAGCAACAAGTGGCAAGTGACATGTGACCCCAGCAGCCCTCGTTCTGGCCCTTATGTTTTATCTAGGCTACATGGTTTTAGGGCGGTAGCACAAACACTCATCGTGAGGCACCCTTAATCTTACCCAGAGCTACACCAACCCAATCAGTGACTAAGTTAGTAATCACACACCTTAGATCCCAGAATCACACTCTAGATCTACATGAGGCTTTCAGGAGATGTCTAGTCACAAGCCACAGTGTATATTCACCTGTTTCTGAAATCTGTTATTTTTTTTCAAAGTAGATAACAAGTTTAAATATAGATGACAGGATTACAAGAAGATGAAGAGAATAATGGGTCAGTTACACAGTATCTTCTAAGCACTATTCATGAATTTTAAAAAACAGGAAGAATTTACACACATCATGCTGATAAGAAACTTTCCAGGCTTCGGATCTAGAATGTTCCCCAGGGATGAAAGACTTTCTCTTTCAATCACCATGGAGGTGATGGACCCGTAAGGAGGTGAAGCCCACTGGGATGGAATGAGCTTAGTAAGAGTGTGCTGGTGAGGGAACACTGAGGTCTCTCTTTGTCCCTTGGCTGTCGTGATGAACAGACCCCCTCCACTGGGTGCACCCCAATTGGTGTATTTCCTACCTTATCACAGTGCCAGAGAGACAGGCGAACAGGCATGGCCTAAGACCTTTCAAAACACTGACTAAAATAAAACTCTCCTTAAAAGTTCTTTACCTTGGGTTTCATAGCAGCAGAAATCCAACACCCTTATTAAAACAAAACAAGAACTATTTGATAACCAAGATCACTTTCATATGTCTTCTTGATTCAGAAGTGTTCTCAAATAAATTCATTCTTTTAAACTAACTTTCAAGTAAAGGCACATTTTATTCACTCCTGAAAAATGACAACAAAAACACCTTTCATGCTATGCTTTTAAAACTTCAAGATTTATTTGAAAGTTATTCACATACCTATGTGAAGCTCAGAAAGGGAAGTTAATTTATCCTGGGTATCAGAGTTGAAAGAGAAGAGATATAGCGTTATTTTACCTTTAATTACCTATCACAACATTAAGGCTCCAGCTCCCCAGACTAGGGTGCTACTCAGTGGTGTTACTCAGTACTTAGTGTGTGTGAGGCCTTTCACTTTAGCGCCAGCACCCCCAAAAAACAAATAAACAAACAAAAAACCTGTGGGTGAAGTTGCACATCAGAGAGAGAAAGCAGATTGTGTTTAGATGTAGACATACATGTCTTGGTTACTTTTCTCTCATTGTTGAAACAAAATACCTAAAGCCCAAAATTAAGGAAGCAAAGCTTTATTTAGCCTACAGTTTGTGGAGGTCTCAGTCCACACTCAGCTGGCTCTAAGGCAGGGAGCATGATTCCATTCCATGCTCAGTTAGCTCCAGCACTGGGAAGCGTGGCACAAGAGCAAAAAGGTTCAAATGGGGAAAGTACCCGCTTTCCCTCCCTTATGCTGTAAGCCAGCTCCCTGCACCTGGGTGGATGCAGTGCTCATATCACAAGTACCATTGCTAGACAAGGGGCCAATCACAAATGCAAGCCTCAGCCACTGCTTGAGGCTTGGGGGGACATCCAGACACAAACCATATCAATGCCCATAGAGAACTCTAGCTGCAGATTAGAAAAGGGATCCAAATGGGCTATTTTAGTACTAGACCAGGCTCTTCCCAACTCCAAAATGACCTTAAAGATTAGCTAATAGATTAATGTCTTTCATTCAAATGTCTTTCTTTTCAAAAAAGATAATAAAAATACTAATGATTATTGTTATTGAGGATGTAATGCATCATTTTCAAAATGCTATGCAAATTACTTTAAATGTATTATTTCCTCAACAACTTTGTGGGATCAGTTCTACTCTTCTTTACTTTACTAACCTATTAGAGACATATGTCTGCTTCCAAGTACACCTACATCAGGAAACTGGCTCATCAAAATACTTTGTGATGGCAAAGAGTACATACAAGAACATTTGATGATAACTGAGTAACATTAATATTCAACCTAAGAACTGTATTATTTGTGATGGTCCAGTAAGCTCAAGGAATATGAAGTATGACCAGATTCTTCTTACATGTGAATTTGAGCGCTGTGCTCTGCCTCGCTGAACTGAAGAAACAATTTGGAGCAAACAGACCCTCAGCTTAGCATCTACCCTTCTGCCATCTGTTTACTCCCCATCAGGGATCTCTCTGTGGCTGGAAGTATATGCACTTCAAATAACCTGCAAACCTGCAGGGCTGGGGTACAGCTCGGTGATACACAGTTGTCTCTCATGTGCAAGTCCCTGGGTTCCACCACAGGTACAAATAGAAATTGTAATGCTTTGTCACAACTTTCACTGAAGAAGTGCCCATATTACATGGTACAGCATTTAGATAAATTATACTTATAGCTGAAGTCCTTCACAAAAAGAGAGAGAGAGAGAGAGAGAGAGAGAGAGAGAGAGAGAGAGAGAGAAACCACCTCCTGGTGTAAACCTATTATACTGTGTTTTAAGAATGTGCCTTGTAGGGGCTGGGGATTTAGCTCAGTGGCATAAGCACCTGCCTTGCAAGCAGGCGGTCGTGAGTTCGATCCCTGGTACCGGTAAAAATGAAAAAGACATAAAAAAAAATGTGCCTTGAAAACAAATAAACACGTTGATTATTCAGTGTTATAAAGGTTGATTCAAAGTTACTTATATCAATATCCTAGATTTTAACAGTTTGTATCCCTACAGATATCACTAAGTGATTGCCATGTTCAGATCAGTGTCTGGGAGATGTGTATTTTTTTGTAGTTAGCATGTGACTGTTTATAGCCATGCATTTCTCTGAAGCAATGCTGAAGGCAGGCGGAGAGGACTAGTAACACAAGCCCAGTGATCTTCCAATCAGACAGAATCTCTTGTGAAAGCAGTTCTCAGTGCGTGTAGCAGTTTTAGTTACCTCTTGAGGCAAGCTTAGAAATGACCCTCAGTGTGGGGAAGACCATGGCTTTTTTCACCACAGTGCCACAGGTCTCAAATGTTCACAGCTCTTGCTCTGCTCTCCAAAGCAGACTTAAAACTTCAGTTGAATAAGCACTCAAGAAATCTATCTTTGAAAACTTGCCAACAACATCAGTCTTGATTTTGCTATTATCTCTTGCTTTCAAGATCCAAATACACAATTAATATCAGAGAACTATTTTCATATTACAATTGATTCCTCTCAGTTTTTCAGTTGAACTAAGAATCAGGTGTGGTATGCTCTGTCAGGAAATTTGTCATCATTTTGTTTATATCCTGAGGCCTTATGGGAGACTGAGACTGAGTGCAGAATAATTAATCTGGTGGAGGAAATTTTAAGGCAGACCAATGTTTGGGCTGTGACTTGAGTACCACGGGAGCTTTTAATCAGCTCTAAACTGAGAATCAAGTCCAAAGGGCATTGCTAAGTTTGACGATTATCTTATTCATTAGTTCCAATAAACTGAACTCTATTACTTTTCTAGTTTTTATTTCATAAATTGATGAAGCTTAATATTTAGTTATTGTAAGTTTATAAAGAGAAATAATAGAGGGTTAAAATAATATATCAAGAACAGTATTTTTAATGTAAGAATGTTACCAGTTAAATTTAAAGGAATACTATGTAGCAGATTTTAAACTTAATTTTCTTTTAATGAAAAGAGTTTTTGTTATCTAATATGCCTCTAGCATTAATGATACGTGAGTCTCAGATAAAAATTTGTAAGAAATGGGTGCTAAATGTAAGTGTTACAATGTAGGAGGAGGAAACATCAGCTATTGCTAAATCAGTATGGTATAAGTTATCATATATCAATCACCAGTGCTGTGGTGTACTTGGCTTCCATAGCGCACTCAGGAAAGATTTCTCAGAAGAAATCACTGGGATAAACTTTGCAACACAGGAATGTGCAGGATCAAAGGCCTTTTGATATAAAGATTTTCGTTCTGAATTCACAGATGATGAACATTTCATTCAAGTACAATACAAATAGGTACTCCAACACTGTAGGCATGGTTGGAGTCTGTAGGGAAGAAGATAGGAAAAGATAAAAACAGACAGTTAATGAAAACACTGAGCACCATGCTAAAGAGTTTATTTTCCTGTTCTCTGAAGATTATGAAAGCCATTAAAGAATGTTAAGGAGGAGATGAAGCATGAGGAGACTTACCATTAAACAGTATGACTAACAAAACCACATGCTAATTTTGAATTATTTCCAAATATTAAAGAATTTCACTACAGTAGGCTAAGCAAACATGCAATGAATTTTCTCTGACAATCAATCTGAAGTGACTTTGCCATTCTTAAATAGCATACCACCTTTGTTTCAGTTCGGTACTACATTAGTTTCTTTTCACTACTTAAAAAAAACAATTGGTTTAAAAGACTATTTGTGGAATATTTTAAAAATGGAAATATCTCCTTTAGTGATTTTTGTACAAAACTTGAGTATCACACATTGTCTTTATCCTTTCACCTGAGAACTAGGTGCATATTGATGCCGTTGTTAAATAATCATTAATTTGTACTTAATCTAAGTAAACAAAATAATGCATAAGTTGCTAACAGTTTCACAAGAACAGCTGCTTCAACAGTAACTATTATCAAGAAGCATCCACCTCTACTGATATATTTTATTATTATTATTATTATTATTATCATTATCATTTAACTTTCCATTACAATGACAAAGTATCTGAGAAAAACAACTGAGAAGGAGCACAGTTTTATTTTGCCTTACAGTTTCAGAGGTTTCAGTTGATGGTAACTAGCCTGTTGCTTTGCTTATGGCAGCACAGAACACTGTGACAGAAACGTGGCCCAAGACCTTTTCACCTCAGGAAGCAAAGGCCACCGATTGCTTTCTCCAAATAGACCCCATCTCTCAAAGCTTCCACCGTCTCCTAATAACATCATGGGATGTGGACCAAGCCCTTAACCCAGAGACCTCTGGTGGACGTTTCAGATCCAAACTGAAGCAATGGAACTGAGAATATTTGAGCCACCAGAAACTCGATTGCAGAACAAAAGAAAAGTGTTTTTAAATGCAGAGAGGCTTGTATTAGGATCAAAGGAAGAAATTTTGCAGCGTCTGTAGAGAATCTTTTCCAAATGATTAATGAATCAAAGGTGGTTTCTTCTGAGTGCAGTGATACATGCAGGTAACCTCAGCTTGGGGTCTGAGGCAGAAGTGTCACAAATTTACAGCCAGCTTAGGCAACTGATTGAGACCCTTCTAGAGTTAAAAGTTTGACTCAAGGAAGCAAGCAGCTTAGAGCTCCCTGGATTCAACCCCCAGTACCAAAACAACTAAACAAATTGGATTTCATCTACTTAATTTTAGAAGTAATCTATAATGAAGTCAGAAGGGCTATTTATTATAAAAATCTTATCGCTAATTTTAGGAAATACCCTGGTAAATTATATATTTAAACATCAAGAAGACAACATATTTCTCTTTTTTCTGATATAGAACATACATGTAAGAAAACAAACATCAAAAAAACCTTAGTCTATAGCTCTTAGAAAATTATACTTTTTTATTTGTATGTTTGTTTTGGCCAGTTATCAAGTGAAATACAAGAATTTCCAGAAGGAGTTCTTTATTTATTTGCATTCCATTTTGGTTAGTATAATTCTTAGAGAAATTATGTACCACTGATTGAATTAATTGTTTCCATTTGGAAACCAAGACCAGATATCTCTATTAGACTCCAAATCAGGGACAGTGTAACTCATGAAACAGCTAAAAACAGTCCTGGATTCATTAGGCTAATGAAAGAGTATGTTTTAAAATTTGCAGTGTTTGGTGTTTACTGAAGTTCTATTGCTTTCATTATGCATGCTTAAATGCTGCTTTAAAACAATGTGTAACTGCAAATGAGAATTGATCCAGAAGATGAAAAAAGCATGGGGGAGGGGAGGAAGTAAGCCAACATTTAATAAGGTCAAAAGAAACTAGAATGTTCATGTTAGCACGAAACTCAGTAAACCTAATACTACTTCCATTGTTTCTGAAGCAATATATTTCATTTCTCTGACACTGAGAAGTAGACAGAAACATATTTTAAGGAATAGGCCTCTTTATTCTCTGGTTCCTCTTCAAAAAAATGAATAAGCCTCTCCATTTTCACAGTTAATCAGGATAACATTATGTTGTCAGTAAATAGGGCATGATGATTTGACTGTTTTAGCTTGACCAGATACAAAATTATACTTGTACAGCTCTTCAAATACACAAATATAGAAAAAATTTCTTTATCTTAACTAATTCAAAAGTGAGGATATTGATTACTCGTAACAAAACAAAATATAAAAATGGCTAAACGTTGCAAAATCTTTGCACATAAAGTGTGTTAATTCCTGTTTGAAGCCACTGCATTTGTTGATTGAAACACAAATGGCATATAATAGAGAGTCTAAGACTATTTTGACACTTTTGCAATAATACATTTTTATGGTAAGGGTGACTTTTTAAATTAGCATGAAAAAAATTAATCCATAGTGGGTTTGGAAAAATTGAGTCTATGCTTGGAGAAAATAATAAGAATGTCTGTCAAAAATGGCACCAAAATGAACTCCATATAGATTAGAATCTGTTAAAAAGTAAAAAAAAAAAAAAAAAAAAAAAAAAAGAGGAAACCTTTGGGTCCTCAAACTTATATATGTAGTAAGTGTGATACAGAGGTGGTACATCTCCAAAGAGGGAATGTTATTTAATTATCAGTTTAGAAGAAGTCACAAAATTAGACAAGGAATAACTTTCAGAAGGCCCATCAGTAACCACAAAGTATGACGGGTAACAAAGTCTGTCTCCATGAGCAGAATTAGGGATCTATTAGGAATGTTCTCCTCAAGTCAGGAAAGAGTGATCTAACCAAGGAATGCAGCCACAAGACTTTCAGCAATGCTTGGAAACTGCTGATATATGAGTTAGATAGAAAATCATCAACCCTTGTTTCAGGGTTGTTCAGCTAATAGCTCCTGTTCCAGTTCTGGCTGCTTCTGATCTCTTAGAAACAGCTGGTCACTATGATTCATAGCTGGTCACTATGGTGCACATTGTATAAACCAGTCCCCAGTTGACAAGCCATTCTGCCTCTGTACCTTCCTGTTTGCTTATCCCATATAAGCCGTGGACCACCAGAAATCTGAAACTGATATTCTGGGGATGATTTTTGTGCCCTTCCATGTAAATAAATCCGTCTGCAAATCCTGGGTGTCATTTCCATGTTTCTGCTTGCCACTGCATGTGGTGCATTGACTGGGAAGACCAACCATGCTGACCTCTTTGGTCACCAGTTATGGCACTCATTGCTGAAGCAAGAACTTCTCCAAGTCCTGACAGGAAGGCACACCTGCAAGATTTCTCAAGTCCTCTCTGAGGTCTGGTGGAGGACTCCTGGTTTCCCACTTGAGCAGCTCACATTGAATCCCAAAAGGAGAAGGACACAATCTGTCTGTTTGTATGTCTGCATGCCTGCCTGATTCCAGTAAGACTCCTGGGGGCACCCCAGTTAGTTTGTTAGTCTTGGTCAGCTCAAGCAGACAGGGAGTCTGAGCAACTCTTGTTAACTAAAGTCACCCTTAAGGGAAGGGAAGTTGGAATGTTTAACCTCTGAGTGCCTGCTGACTGAATGTGTGAGTGAGTGGAACAGAAACAGTAAGCAAAAGGCTGCTTCATCTATGCACGAAGACTGGAAAACCCTGGTCACAGTGGCTGGTTTGACTTTCACCTGTGGTTCCATGGTGATTAACAAGTAGCATAACAGAGGCCTCAAACTCTTCTTAACTTCTTCTTAAGCCATGCCTAAGTCCCTGTGGTGAAGGGTGCAGCCAAATAGGCATCTGAATGGTCTCTTTCTGAGAAGTGCCCACCCTCATCTGTTGTGTCATTGTTCAAGAGTACACAACACCCTCAATAGGGAGATAGAATGGGTTTCAGCAGAGTAAACCATGGTCTTTGATGTTAAAATTGCCCATTGACTTTGACTATGTAATGAAAATAAAACCTCAAAAGTTCCATAGATTTTGTGAAATTAAATGGTCAAATCTTAGTTTGGATTGGTCATCTGAAGGGAAACTTGATGCTAAAATTTCCCATCAAGTTTGGAACAGAATGATAAAGCCCAACAAACATGGTCATCCTCACCAGTTTCCTTATATTGCCTCCTGGCTCAATCTGTGTCAGAGCCTGACACCATGGCTCCTCACTTGTGTCCTGTATCTCAGAAAACAAGACAGAAAAAGAGGCCCATTCTGCCTGAAAATTCTACCTTGGCATCCTCGTCAGCCACCACAGTTGTTGCCAATACCTGTGACTTCACTACCTGACCCCTTCTCATCTACTTCCAGCAACTGAACTGGTTCCAAGTAATCACTGCCTGCATTTTGCCACACAGACTCTGCCCTGAGATGACTGTCAGAAATTCTTTCTGGGCTCCACATTCTGGTGAGGAAAAATTGGACTGACTTCCTGAAAAATGAGGCCTGAATAGATAGGACAGATCAAGCTCCATCAAATTGGGTCCCTGAGAGCCTGCACTCTTGCAAACTTTGGGACAAACCTGTGACTTTCCTGATAGACAATGAAACAGAACTCTCTACTTTCAAAAGTTCCTTCTATTTAAAAGTCACCATCACCAGTGCAACTAGAACACTCGTGTCTCATTCCTTCTTTCAGGCACAAACTCACAACCTGGCAAGACATCTTCTTTCACCATCCAGTCAGCCTACCACTTGCTTAACCCTACACTTTCAAGTTGAACTGTTACCCAAGAGAAAGGTGATGCCTGCCTCAGCCTGAAACAGATAACTACAATCTTGAAGTTCTGAAAACTTTCCTCCCAGAGGGACAAACTAAAGACTCAACTCTGGGCGTGGCCATCAACCATGCCACTTTACTGTGACCTCCATTCATATCAGATGTCACGGGAAGTAAAAAGAGACATCCAGCCACACATCAGCCTGATAGACTGTTAATCATCTTGGGCAACATCTCCCAGCTGCCAATGCCACCACAATTACCCTCCGTGTATATTGCCTTAGTCCTCTGTCATGCACAGCTTGCTGATACGCCTGCATAGACCTAAACAATAATTTCTTCTGCCTTCTCTTCGTTCCTGCCAGCCAGTTCTTTTTTGCAAAGACCCTCATTCTGGACTCAAATGTTAAACAATATGGACTCAACCTGACAGAGGTTCAAAATCTTGTTTACCCACTTTGAAGAAGATCACTGTACTTATGATTGGTGGATAAAAAATAAATTCTGTAAATTTCTTGGAGCTGCTAGCTTCTGTAGAATCTGGATCCTTGAGTTCACAAAAACAATGATGCTTACTTACTCTGACACTCAGCACATGGGAGTGCCCAGTGTCCTACCTGTGCAACACTTGGATCCAATCATTAAGGGCTGTTCCCCCACTTTGTCTCTCACAGCCACTGTCCTTCTGATGAAAAAAGCTGACAAGCTCACTTTAGGGCAAGATCTAACTGTCCAGGTGTCACACACTGCACTGATGCTGAGTACATACTGTAGACAGATGGATTTAGCTCTGTTAGAAATGAAGTCTGACAGGCTAAATGTACTTAGCCAAAGCTGCTTTGGCCAAAGCTTTCCTGCTACTGCTTACTGCTGCTTCTTGGAAACCTGTAACCAACAATGCCACTGCATGCCTAAGCCCCCTCTAAGACATCAAATGACTGAAACATCAGCCTATGAGTCTGCATCTGAGCTCAGGTCTACAACTGAAGTCATTATTTTCTGTTCCGGCTAGTTGCTGTACAGTCTTCTCATCTTAGTGATATAAAGTTCCTGTGGTCACAGACCCACTCCTGTATCTTCTCTCCCACAAAGTAGGTCACATGAATAAAGCAATGTCGACCCCACGCTGGTGGATGAAATATTTTGTAAGTCCTCATCAATGATATTTTCTGAGTCTCTACTTGTGAAAAACACAAAATCTCACCCTGAATGTGTGTATTTCCCTGCTAAAATTATCCATTGGTTCTCTAACATGGAGGACCCTGTACTATCAGCTCATTCACCAATGCCAGGTGGAGCTCCTCAAAATGTCCTACAATGTGATGAATATTGCATTGGTTCTGCTTCTGGAACACTCTGTTCTTGACAGGAAGAGTGACTTGGTCTTGGTAAATAGGAGCCCACACTCTTGTGCCCATGCTGAGTCTTTATTCCTACAACCATGAATATTTTGCTCCTGCATCCTTTGAAAGGGAACTTGGCTGGCTGATGACAGAAGTTGGTTGATGTCAACTGCCTGGGTAATTTTGTCTATTTGCTTGTTTAGTGCCTCTTTCTGGTGGATATTCTCTTGAGGTCATTAACATGTGACACAGATTTTCACACATAATCTCCATCTCAATATGCCCACTCATGTTTCTCTCAAGAATTACTTCTCCTAATTACTTCCAATTTCACCTTTCCCGGCTCCTTAACTGCCACTGACCGTGAATCCACACATAGCAAAACTTAGGCTTGTGAGCAAAATTCATTCTAGACCCATGTTTGTAATACAAAGTACCTGGATATCAAAGTGAATTTTCCCATAAGAGAAAGTAGAGACTCAGATAATTCATTCCAAAATAGTCATGTAAAAATGATTACATACTCTAAGGCAATACAAAAATAATAAAAATACAAAACATAAAGAAAAATAAATTAACCTGCACTTACTTTTGAAAATCTTTGTGACTTGTATGAGAGAGAGAAGACAGAGGAAGGTTGTTTTGTTGGACAACGTCCTTGTCACTAAGGAAATGCCTACTATGTGCTGATTTAGTGGAACCTTGTTCTTTCTGTAAAACTTTAACAAGGAACCTCTCCAGTGACATTTGATTTTGCCTCTTTTTGAGGATTTTAGGAAATGTGACATTGTGTTGTCATTAAATCATATTCATTTATATAGCCTTATTCAAGTGCTGCTTTACCATATTTGAAATGAAGGATTCATCCATATTTTTCTCCTCCTCCTCTGCAGATGAGAATGCCTTAACCTCTTGCTCTTGGGAAATTATCACTTATGATCCTTCAAAGGAGAGAGAGAGAGAGAGAGAGAGAGAGAGAGAGAGAGAGAGAGGGCATTCAGTTCAATTGTGATCTTGTGACATTCAGTGTCACATACTATTCCTATGCAAGAAAATTCTCATACTTCTCTATTTTCAATTTAAAATGAGTTAGAAATGTTTGCTTGTCTTGCGGAAAACTTACAGAATAAGTTATTTGCAATCCAAGGTTTTAATGCATTTCTAATTCAAAGCCATTTCTCTTTTTAGATAAAACTGATGACCAGCTACCTGGCCAAAATTCTGCTCATTAGGAAGATTTTTCTCTCATGTATCATGCTGACCAAACCTGGAGTCAGGCTTGGAATGTTTCCTGCTTGTCTATTATTCATGCTGGATTGCAGGGAGTTCTGAGCTGCATCAGGCTTGATCCTCAAGATGCACCTGCACTTCCAGTGGAGCATTGCTGTTATCTGAGTTCATTACACAACAGTAATGGATGATTGCTGCATTTGACCTCATTATGTAGTAGATTTAATGGAATCCCACTTATAATAAGTAATTCTGGCCATGTAGTCAGTTCTCTAATCAATCATTCCCTGGACGACAGTAACACACCAGAAACTCTCACAAAGGGTACATAATCATCTGCTTAAAGTGGCACCATATTGGTCCATAGTCTTGAGGCTCTTTGTGCCTCCTTTCAAGATATTCCATAGAAACTCCTCACACCCCCTCTTGCTGCTGACACATTGCCTGTCACAGGGAGCATGCTAGGCCTCCTGCAGAGCCCTGTTCTGCTGTGGGTCCATTTCAATGTCAAATAAAGAAATTAAGTAGTTACTCTTGGATCATGTGAGGTAAGACACAGTAGTATTTCCACCTATGACACTTGGTGCCTCCTCAGCACAAATTCATCTTCCTCAGATTTTTCTTTCTATGTGGCAGGAGACACTGAATAGAAGAATCTACCATTTCAATTGCAGAGTAAAGGAAAATTGCACCCTTCAAATGTTAGTGGTGTGACAAAAGCCTTAATTCTGGGGACTTTCATTTCCCACACGTGGGAGCATCAAGGGGTTTAGTGTGCCCCTCACTGCTCACAGATCCGGTCCACTTAGGGTAATGAAATCAACATAGTAGAGCAGGATGTTGTGTGGAATATCTAGACATTCAGATGGCTTGGAACCATATCATGACCCAGGGCAAGGGAGTTAACATAGTCCCAGGGCAAAACTAAAAGTGTTTATTAATGTCCCTCCTCTGCCAAGTAAACACAGACTCTTTACGATCCTCTTTTCTCTTTGGAGTGGGAAAGAAGGCATCAATCAAATCAGTGGTCATCTGCCCCGCACCTGTTGCTTTAGTCTAGCGAAGGAGACCACATCTGGCCCGGCAGCTGCAGCAGGCTCTACTTCTCGGGGGACTTGCAGTAGTCGCAGCTGTCATCCTCCAGGCAGAGAGCAGTTGATCCAGCTCTGAAATCACATTTTCACCGCTGCTTTTGTAGCACTCCTGGCATTAACTGCTGCAGTTTGGCTCTCCAAGAAACCGGAGCCTGAGACACCGATTACTTGCAGACTTTTATAGAAGAGTGATCCTTGGATTCCACAACTGTGGGAGGCTGAGAAAGGAGCCAGGACAGAGCAGAGGAAGACACTGAGCTGACATGCAATCCCAACAAAGCTTCTGTGGATTCCACGGAGAAGGCTAGAGTTCCGAGCTGTCCTGCGTTGAGGAGGGGGCCACGTCTTTCCCTGCTAGAGTGGGGAGCACACATAGCCCAGGAGTGAGCATGAGCTCGAAAGAGTCAGTGTTCTCCAGCCAAGACAACTGCCAGGAAGGATGGCTGAAACTATCCTCAGCCAGCATTTTTAGCAGCTGAGGGAACAGTTTTTCATTTTCTGTGAAAGATACAGGCTACACATGTCTCAGAGCATCTTCCAAATCAGATGACCGTATGCTAGGGACAACTTAAGCCTTCTATTTTATTCTGTTGCTCAACTGGGGCTCTCCTTGTACAAATAGTGCCTCAGCTTAATTACGGTAGCTTTGTAATAACAGATCATGATATTTCATAGGGGCTGTTGCTTTTCTTCATTAACAGTGCATTAGCTATTTTTAGCCTTGCTACATGTATTTTAGATTAGGTTTGCCACTTTTATTTTAAAAAAGTAAAAGATTTGCATGATGATTGCAATACATTTACTTTTTCTTTGTAGAAAAACATTATATTATACCTTCGAATAATTGTGATAAGGATTCTAATTTCTGGTACATAACCTTCTGATAGTTTTAGTCCTACAGATTTGTTGCTTATTGATGCTAATATAATAATATCATTTTCTCCAACTTGCTTTTGCAGTTTTTGTTTTGTTAACTAGATTACAAACAATTTTGTCAATGTAGCATACATCCAATAAACCTGATCAAGTTGCCTCTAGTTTCTAATCATAAGTTCTCTATATTTTCCAGGTAAAAATTATTAGATCCATGAATAATGGTCTTATTTATTTTTCTTTAAAATTGTTACTTCCTTTGTTCCTTATTTTATTTTGATTGGATGCTTAGTATGATATTGAATGAGATATTGTGAATGGACATCTTTGTTTAATTATAAATTCCAAGAGAATGTTTTCATTGTTTCAAAATCGCATAAACTTTTTATTCTAGGTTTGTTGCTGTATTAAAAGATATTTATAAGTTTTATTAGTTATAAATTAATATGTTTTCCTTCTGTCCCTATTATTCTTAGTTTTTATGAGTAAATGTTGAACTTTGTCAAATTATTTTCCTAAATTTATTAAAATAATCATGCCATTTTCTTCTTATGTCTCCTTTTTCCCTTAGTGTGATCAAATAATTTGACAGATTTTTCAGTGTGAAATTAACTTGGCATATGGGAAAATTTCATCTGGTATTGGTGAGTCCAAGATTATAATATTTTATTAAGCACACCTGCATCTATTTTTATTAGTGGTCTTTAAATTTCCTTGCTTTTATGTCCTTTCCAGGACATTCCCATGTTTATCTGTAAAAAATAACTAGCAACTATTCTTATTTTTTTATATTTCTTGGAAGCACTTATGTCTAATTGATATAATTTCTTACTTAGAATTATTTAAATCTTTGGAAGGTATCTCAGTGACACTGTATAGTACTATAATTTTCATTGTGAGGTTTTCAAACAGCTTTAACCTTTAAACCATTGAAGGGTAGTATCCAGACCCCAGATAAGTGGGTGCATTCATGGTATCATGTGGTGAACCAATGCTTGTGATGCTTCATGGTGACCAAGATTGCTTGATGATACACAGGACATGTCCAGGTCCCCTTTGAGGAATCTATACTTTGCAGGGGGGAAAGAATTTTGGACAAAATTTGAATTTTAGATGGAGGTGCATGGTGATTGGGTATTGAAAACAGGACACTCTAATCTCCCCTGGGCATATTATGAATGACTTAATGGGTGCCCTGTAAATCACTGTGAGTTGACAGCTTGATGGGTTTAAATTATTCCTTTTGTGTTGAAAAAGTGTTCTTTAAATATGTGCGCTCTCGTGCATAGATTCTTTTCCAACTCAGGCCGTGGATGCAATCGCCTCTCTAATTCAGCCCCAAAAGTCCACATCAGGAGTGCAGCGGTGCTGGGCTTCTGCATCCCTCCCAGCTTCTGCTGTCATTGCTTCTCCCGACCACTTGGTGTCTCTGCTGACAGCCCCACCCCACGGTGGACAAGGTGCTTGAGGGGCCACTCCAAGGACTGAGGTCTTCCAGAAGGAAATGAACAGTGATGTCTACCGGCTCAGATTCCCCGAATCCAGCTATGGTCTGTGCTTGTGGTACTCTGCAGTTTCTACCATCCCTAGAGGCACTGTTTCAAAACACTCTGCCAAGAGTGTTTGCAGCTCTGAGCCTGTGTCCACACACTTAGAGGTTTAGTGATCGCCCCTGTATGACTCTGAAAACTCAGAGGATGCTATGCACCTTCTTTCCAGTTCACCTGCCTAGCTGGAGGAGAGTTAATGAGTTCAATATCCTGGATCTAAAGCCACCGGAAACATGCAAGATGCTTGCTTAGCCCCTTCACAAAACCACCAGCAAGCAACTCTGTGGGTCTGGCACAGAGACAGCACCCTACAGTGAGATCTCAAGGACGATGATTTATCCTGAAAGCTTACCTCAGTAACTTCTTGCATTTCTACCGCGAAGTTAAAAAAAAGGAAAACACATAGAATCTTAATTTAGGGGGTGTATATAACAATGAAACATTATCTTGTTAAATTTACCTTTATTCTAAGTAGCACTAGCACGCAGAAAAACTGTTACAATCTTAGGAAAGCACTTTGGGTATTTAGTTTCACCAGGGAGAGGATGTCACAGACTTGCTTCCACATCATAAATGACGTCATTCTTCAAACTTTTCCTCAGGTTCAGTCATTTGTTCATTTTTTAATTCTTTCCTGATATCTTCTAGTTTGGTTACATCATCTAAAAAGTGTAGTGACCGAGAGTAGCCACAACATTCCCCCCTAAAAATAGCTCATGAATGCGTAATATAGCAGAAAGATCAATTCCAAATGCTCCATGAATTATTCATTGTAATAAATTCCAGAATCGTGGTGTCTTGGGGTGTGCATCAAGACTTTAGTTTTGTGCTTCTATGTGTATCTAGTTGTTCCTTCCAAATTATATTCCTCTGATAATTTTTTATTCTGACACCAATATTTTTGCTAATATTACTTTGATTCTTATTTTAACATTCCAGAACAATGGCAAGATTTCCAGATGCTCAATCATCCCACATCTCAACCCCTTTCTATACTGTATGTTATATGGGCTTTTCAGTTTATTGAGATTTAAAAGAACTTTTTTCCCAACCATATAATAACATGAAGAAAAGCACTGCTAGGATGATAATTCACAGGATCCTTCTAATTCTGAGATAAACTTATTCCTATCCTCTGCTTTAGCAACAATGAAACACTTGTGCAAACAAAAACTCAATTTTATAAAAGCATCTTTCGACAGTGGGCTATTATTACAGTGTTTCCTTTTAGATTTGTGTACTAAAACAGCTTCCCTACTTGGAAGCAAAGGCTGATCAAACATCCATTCATATTCTTTAGTACACCTTACTTACCTTCAGTCATGTAACTTTTATAGCTTGGCACACTGTTGGGAAAATAAATTACATTTGACTGTTCTCATGCAGTTCAGTGAATCAAATGCTTTCCAATTCATGAACCTTAAAATGAAATTTAAAATCATCAAACAAAGCCCATAACAAGTAAAGCAAGGGTTTGGCAAGTATAAAGAAATATATACAAAATTAATTAATGATCAAAACTGGATTAAAATTAATTGTGCATAAAAATCTAAGGGTTTTTTTTTCCTTAGGCACAGAATAAACTCAATTTCTCAGTTCAAGTATTTTAATGAAATAAAGAGTTGACTTTCAATCATGCAGAGGAGTTTTAAGTCTATGAACTTAAGAAGCAAAAATTCGCAGCTTTAGAACCAAAAAATAGTGTTTTATTCGTATTTAGCAATTGATCACAAACACTTGTAATGAGACTTAAACGAACTGATCATTATATTCCGTTGTAGTCCAGGGAGGCGCTGTCAGTCAGCGCTTTCCTGTGGTCCTACCCCCCCCCCCCGCCCCCAGCTCCCATCTGCCCTTCAGCTCTGCTTCACGCAGATGGAAGGGAACTCATGGCTGCCTCCTTCCCACTGCTTCCCATTCATTCCTGCCCTTGGGTGTCCTCCTGAGAGTCCTGGCATTTGTTGTATTTCCTGGTTCAGAAATATTTACTCTTAAAATCAAAATTTTCTCCCGTGTCAGAAAGAAATAAATTGTAAGACTTAATGTCTACATTCTGTGGAAGACAATTCTCTAGAAATAATCACTCATGAGAAATGACACATCCCTCACCATACATATGTGGGTTCTAAAGCCAGAGTGTGACCAAGTTAGCAGTTAAGGAGGGAAAGAAGAAAAGAAAGACGATGGGAAGAAATCGAGCTAATGATACAGAAAAGGAAACTGTTAGCAGAATAAATAAACGAGGCCAGCACACAAAGCAGAAATAGATATGATTAAATTATTCTTGAGGTCTTCTGAATATTTCATTGTGTAGTAAATTTATCTTTGCATAAAGTACTGCATTTAAAAATATTTACACAGGGCAGAAGAGACAGGGAAACACTCATCTGTGGGATATGGTTAAATAGGCGGGGAAGGAGCTTTAATGTGTTATTTCCCATAGAGTGACTATACATCAAAATAATTTACTGCTTATTTCAAAAGAGCTGGGAAGATTTTGAATGTTTTCACCAAAAAGAACTTCTTGAGGACAGACATATAAATACAAATATACATGTATTGAAACGTACAAATTTTCTATGTATCAGTTAAAATAATTTTAAAATAAAATATTTTTGTATAAAATATGTAAATTGTTAAAATGTATATAATGAGGTGTATTTAGTGTCTCTTCAAAATGCAATTTAAATAATTGCACTGAAATTATTTCTTCTTTTTGAGTGTTTGTCATTGAGATGTCATGTTACATTTAAAACTGATTTTATGCTTTGACAAAGGTACCAAACATGTTTACTAGTAGAAAAATAGCCTGTTTAATAAATGGTGCTGGAAAAATTGGCTTTCTCCATGCCAAAGACTAAAACTATTCCCATGCCTATCACCATGCACTAGGCTAAAGTCAAAGTGGATCAAAGATCTAAATATTAAGACAGAAACACTAAATCTACTATAAAACAAAATAGGTAGAAATATCAAGGAAGTAGGGGTAGACAGAGAGTTCATGAACAAGATCCAAACTGCACAGGAAGTACTTCAAAGAATCAACATGTGGGATCTCATCTCATTAAAAAGTTTTGCACATCCAAAGAAATCACCAGATTGAGATAAAGATTTCTGCCCACTGTTACTCAAAGGATTTCTGGAATATATAAATAAGTAAAAAATCAGGTCCCCTCAAATTCAAAGACCCAATCCAAAACTGGACATCTGAGATGAATACACAATTCTCAGAGGAAGAAATACAAATGACAAATAAATACATGAAAAACAGTTCATTATCATTGGTCATTCAAGAAATGCAAATTAAAATGGCATTGAGATGTCCTCTCACTCCAGAAAGAATGACTGTTACCAAGAAAGCAACCTGGCAGGGCTCTGGGTAAAGGAGAGCCCTCCTCCATGTTGGTGGGAGTGTAGACTGGTACAACCACTGTGGAAATCAGTGTGGCGATTGCTCAGAAAATAGGCTTAGAAGTTGCATTTGACCCAGCCATTCTCCTTCTGGGTGTTTTCCCAAAAGAATTGAAAACATCATACCACAATGACATATGTGCACCCATGTTTATAGCAGCACAATTTGCAATAACTTAATCTTGGAAACAACCCAAATTCCTATCAACTGAGGAACAGATAAAAAGATGTGATACTTTTATACAATGGAGTACTACTCAACCATAATGAAGGATAAACTAGAGGCTTTTATAGTAAATGGATGCAACTAGAAACCATACTTATAGTTGAAACAAATCAGACTTGCATGTGTAAACACCATATTGCCTCATTAACATATGAAATTGAAAGTAAATAAGATTCAAAAGTTGAAAGAAATTGCTCAATGGGAAAAAATATTGTTTGATCAATCTTGCATGCCTGTATCTGGTAACATGAGCAAATATTTTGAAGATAGCAATATGCAATATAACAACCATTGTTAAATTCCTATCACTTTGTTCTGAAAACCATATCATTATTGGCTTTTAATTGTTGCTGATTTTGGCCTTTTTAAAAATTTGTTCAATTGATTTTTGATTTTCGTGTGTTTTTTCCCTTTAAATTTTTTTTTAAAAATAAAAAAAAATGAAATTATGCAATTTTCTGTATTACTAAATTGTGTGACCAAGTCAGGTATCTTTAACGTTGTGAGAGAATGAAGAAATTAAAATACTATTGTATTTTCTGGGATATAGCTAGTAAAGTTTTAGTTGTCTAGAAGTATAAGACTTTTAAACATGGTGATATTGTGGTATTATAATTATAAATATTAAATATACTTCCTACTTCACATCTTTCTCAAAATGACTGCTGCAGGATTTAATGACTACATGTATTTAAGCATATAATAAATGCACATAATTGTCTATTCAGCTACAAACAATATATATTATTCTGAAAACACAAACTAGTCCCGTTTTTCACAGTGTGGTTATTAGTCTTTTATGGAAGGCTGTTTTCATCACATTAACACATTGCATCATAAAGATGTAGAAAAGGCTGTGTCTGAATTATGCAACCTTTTATAGGCAGGGATTTTTCTACATAGTTTTAAATTAATCTTTTGATAGAAATTTTTATGCAGGTGAATTCTTATGATTCCTGCAAATGTCCTCTTATGAATAACTTCCTTTATTGACAAGGTTATTTTCTTTTTCAATGTATATCAAGATCAGTTCTGCTTTACATATATTTGTTCAGTTATGTTATTCTCTATGCCTTTACCCTCTCTGTGATTTTAGAAAAACTAAGCTTATATAATTAACATTGCACGTAAGTATAAATATGCTAGTTGTAATTCAACTATTACTCCAGCTATGAGCTGTCTGGCAGAAAATGGTTCATAAAACAGTTGTCAGCACATAATTCAGAATGAAAACTATTTTCTCCTGAATATCCAAAATAGAAAAAAACCTAAGTATTTATGGGAATTATTTTAATTAGTACATGGGAAATCTTTATTGCTTTCTGCACGTCACACAGTGTACCATTTGAATTAAGTTTGTTCTTAAAATTCTCCAACCTCCAGGCTTTAATACTGGGCTTTGATAAGATTAGAAAGCTCTGGGGGGTTCAGGCCAGTGCAGAGCATTTGCTTATGTGTCAGAACAAGGATTCACTCCCCAGGATCACAAAGAAAAAAAGAAAGAACAAAGGACAAAGAAAGAAAAAAAAAATATATAGAAAACTCAAGGGCAGTTGAAAGCCTCTCTGGTGCCGAAAGTCCTGGGCAGGACAGACCATAGGTTAACTTATAACTTAGTCTGGTGGCTGACCTCCTCTATGTGCTGCCCGGCTCTGCGCCCAGATCATTTTGGAGCTGTGGGAGGCTCAGAGCTTGGCCAAGCCTGCTGTCTAGCGATAGCGCTCCCAGCTTTTGTCCTGTTGCCTTTACTCCTGGGACAGACCTCAGAACCCCTGTTCCTGGCTCAGCTGGAGGGAAGCAATCAGGTGAGAGAATGCCTATCTATAGTAGATAATGTATGAAAATTTCCTCTGAATTTTGCAATTTCACAAATATTTGGAGATGACATGATTTTCAATAAATTAATATGTCCCCAGTTACAAAACATTAGCAGAGCTGACCATTTGAGAATCAACTGAGGAGTATGTGTTTCTCCCATATTTATTTGTTAAAAACCCACCTACCTTTGAAATCTAAAACACAGTGCCCAATATAGTAAGAAGAAAAAGGATCTGTTGGCGTGGGTGAGTGAAGGGGAGAGAATTTTATGAGTGCTTACTCAGAAGTTTGAATATTTTATATCACTTTGAAAAATTTCTCCAATAATTAGATTTGCAATTGTTATTCTTGAATTGAAGATACTGAGCCAGGAGAAAAAATAAATTAATCTCACTTAAGAGAAAGACCTGGACCATAGTCTTCATCAGAAAGTAATATGATAATTTTCTCTTTGACCACCACAAAGTACATGGTTATTTTAAAAACAATTAAAGATGGAATTTTGGCACAATTTTGCAGAAGTTGAGCCAGACTATCTTATTTTATTTGGATCCCTGGTTTATCTCAAGGGTTGGAATTCAGGGTCAACCCATTTATGGAACTTACTAATTATCTTCCAAGCCTGAACTAAATCCTATACGTCTCTTTACAAGAAATACTTATCTGAGAATCTTGGCTTTTTGTAAAGAAATGAGCACTTCCCCAAAAAAAGAGATACGTGGAAAAGCAGAATATAATTGTGGTCAAATAATCTATTTCAAAAGACTCACATTGATAATTTTGATATTTGATGTGTTGATTTTAAATGATTTACATTGTTGTTGAAGCAACTTACTATTAGCATATCATGATTTATTACATACATGTGCATATGTGTGTATATATATATATATGTATGTACACATATATAATATGTATATGTACATATATATGAATCAACATTTTCTTGGTTTCAAAAGATTTATAGTGAGTAACTTTGGGAGCTGTTACGGTTTGTGGCTCCAAAGCCTCATGTACTCATAGGTGAGGCTTTTCAGAGTTGGCTGTTTCTAGGCTGTGTGATATGGGGATTAAGGGTGTATGATACTTACTAAATTAGTCCACTGATTGAATCAGCATAGTTTTGGTCGTGGATAAGGGAAGCCCCCTCCTGATGTGCATGGCACCCATCCACAGGCTTACCAGCCTGAAGAGGAAATGTGGGCGCTAATGCTGCCATCACAGCTTCTCTGCCTCCTGCCTACCCTGCCAGGGACTGTTTATCTGCTGTGTTGCCCCCGCTGCCATGCTGCCCTGCCTTGGAGTCAGTCAGCTATGGACTTAAAGCTCTGCAAACTGTGAGCCAAGTAAACCTTTTCTTCTTTAAATTTGGGTGTCAGGTATTTTGTATCAGTAATGAGAAAAATAGCTAAGAAAAAAAGCAAATTTGTTTTTTTAGGAGTTTATAATATTAAATATATGAATTTGTATGTATGATACATACTGATTATTTTGTTTCTAAAGTGGGTTACCTTATTATATTTTGTCCCAAATGTGGATATCTAGTTGTATTCATCCAGAAAGCTTCTTTCATGAATATTTTCACGATGCAAAATAGTACCACATAGTAAGCAGCACTCTCTGATTTTCTTTCTGTACATCTCGCTTTGGCTGAGGGTCCCAAAAAAAGTGTGCTTGCAGAGTTTGAAAGACATTTACATCCAAACAGTTTTAGAAACTCATTAACTTGTTTACTTGTACAAGAAAACTGGGAAAATTTTAAATATATCATATTTAAATCATTGTCATTAAAATAAATTTGTAGACTTCATTTTTCTGGCATTGAATGAAAAGAAAACTTTTGACATAGCACTGATCTCTAGGAGGTTGTATCTCAACATTTAGGCATCATGTATTTACATTATGCAGCTTCAAGGAAGTTATCTTTTTAATTTTTTAAAATTTTTTATTTTAAAAAGGGAAAAATTAAACACAACAAAACAACATAAGAAAGCAATGCAAAAGCAAATTTCAAAGCAAGACAATCAGAGATCTTCACTATCTATCATATTGTCTCTTGTTTTCTTCTGAATAGTTGTCTATATCTTCATATACAGAGAATTCACACGAAACAACATAGTGTAGAACTGATCTGAACAAGATGAGGAAGGCGTTTTAGGTCTTCAAGATCAGACAACAGGGAAGTCAGCAATGGCTGTCATTGTGTCTCAAAGCTGTCCATATCTTCATGCATGTTGAAATTATACAAACAAAACAGGCTAAAATCACTCTGAACAGAGAATAGTATTGTTGGATTTCACATCATGATGCTATGGAATCACACTAGGTATCATAGTGTCTCTTTTTCTTCAAATTGTTCATTTCATCATGTTATATAATCAGTTCTCATAAACTGTTTTTAGGTTCTACATATGCATGAGTCTCTACATGTATTTCTATCCTTTCTGTATTAGCGGGGAAAACAAAGCATAGCAAGACAAGACAAAACAAATTCCTATAAAACAATGAAACAAAAAAGTCATATAGAACCACAGTACAAGGTGATCTACAATGGTTACTGTGTTGTCTTCAATAGAATTGTCCATATCATCAGGCATAGTATTATTGAATATAGCAGTACATAACAATATTAATAAAAACAAACCATTGTAGACAGTATAAAACTTCAAAAGCAGGTAATAATCAAACCAGAGTTGGTATCCTGGTGAATCTTGTCATCTTCAGGGTAGTTGCCTGTACTCTACGACTTGACACTATCAATCATAACAGATTTGAATAAAATCTGTCAATATAAAACAGCGATCTAACAAACCAGATTCAACTGAGATCAGTCATGATAAAACAGTGTAAACTATATAGAGCTTCAGATTAACTTAGTAGGAAATTAAGGATGATTGCCATACTATGTCCTACTATTTTGGGGATAGCTGTCTGTGCCCTCAAATCTAGTACAAGTAGACCAACTGGAACAGAATATAATCTATCTAAACAGAGTGGTGTGAGCAATGTGGGTTTTAAATCCTGATACACTATTAACAATATCCTCTGCCTTCTTTTTTTAAGAGTGTTACTCCCCTTTCACTCCCACAGGGTGGTGCACATTTTGGGTCCCACCAACTCCCTCAGTTTTTAGATTGGGGGACACGCTGCTCTTTACCTAAGTGGTTCTGAACCTTCTCTCTCCTGGACTTGATCTCAAGTTGTATTCCTTTACCTACAAAATCCTCAAGCTTTCCTTCATTATAGCTGATTATTTCTCTACTGCGTGTAAGTATCGTATCTTTCCAACCTATCTGCAGGTGTTGGTCCAGTTGCTCCTATTTTTCTCTGGTTCCCTGTCACATAGAGCATGGCTTCCTCACATTTGATTTCCGGTCCTTAAACCCTTTTCCAGGTTAATTACATTTCCTATAGAGAACATCTCAGTGGACCCTACTTCCTGGTCTACTCTGCCTATGTGTGTTTTTATTTTAAGTAGATCAAGTGAAGTGATCTTTTTAAGACACAGACTAAGTAGTGACCTACAGCACCTTTCACTCTAAAGGTGAGGGTGCTCATGGGTTGCACCCTCTTGTGAAGTCCTAAGTTCCTGGGAACAGGGGAGATGATGACTCAGGAGGTGAGGCTGGAG